GTAAAGAGAACATAATAAGATTGGACTGAGCGAGACTAAGAACCATTATTTACGAACACACAGATTCAAAGCAATAAAAACATTAAATGACACATAAAACTTTAACGTTTAGAACAGTACAAACACAAAACGCAATAACTTACGGAACACTGCAACAACACGTACTTAAATCTAACATTAACAACACTTACTTAACTCAAACTTAATTACTGAATGGTACTCTTCTTTTAAACACCAACTCTTAATTCTGGACATCTGTCCAAATAATATAATTGATCTTGCACTTCCTTGTACTTATATAAAATATTTCTTGCTTCTCAAGAAATAAGTGGTGGAACTTTAATAGTTTCCACTGCGAAACAATAACCATTTATTAAAGACTTGACTTTTATTAAAGGCATGCAACTATAGCTCACTTTAATATAGTTTCGATTAAAAATTTTATGAAGCCTGTGTCCTACTGGAAAGTGTTGGTCAATTAAAGCTAAAAAGCGATTTCCAATTTTAGTTTCAACATTTTTGCTAAACGGGGGGTTGTACCATATAATTTTACGTTAGCGATGTTTTTTTTTTGATTTTTGTTTTTGATTTGCGGTTGGTAGGTGAGTTTTGAATTGTATCCTGATTTACGTAAAGCCTCTTCATACGGAAGAATTGAATTATTGAACACAGTTTCATTTACTGCCATATTCGATAATCTTAACTCAATAGTGCGAGGGATATCTTTTATTATATTAGGTGGATGGTTTGACTCTGAATGAACATACATAAGTTGGTTATTAGGTTTATAATACGATTGATAAGAAATATATATATATATATATATATATATATATATATATATATATATATATATATATATATATATATATATATATATATATATATATATATATATATATATCTGTGTTTCTGTGTGTGTGTGTATATATATATTTAATATACTTTTTATTTGTGCGTATTATGAAATTATATATATATTTTTAAAACATATATTTGTAATTTAAAAACTTATTACTATTATTATTATACTATTATATTATTATTATACTATAATACTATTATTGCTGTTCAGATTGTTTGTTGTAAATATATAGTTTATTCTTTTAGTTTGTGCTTCGACTGCTCACCAATCATAAACAGAGTCGATTGTCGATGCAATAATTACTGATTCGTTAAAGCTGGCAACTTAATATTTTCTGAAAAAAAACGTCTTTTAAACGTTCAAAAGACTTTTTTTTAACTTTGGGTTTTTTAAAAGCGTTTTTAAACGGTTTTTTTAGAACGTTTTTTAAACAACTTTTTTAGAACGTTTTTTAAACGCTTTTTTTAAAACGTTTTTTAGGTATTGCCATTTCCAACGTTTAAAAAACGTTTTATTTATTAGTTAAAAAAACGTTCTAAAAACGTTCATGTGCTTACTGAGGTAGATGTATTCATGACACATTGTTTTTAATTTAGAATATTCCCATCCCAGCAAACACTCTACAGCAGATTTTCAGAGGACCAAAATAGGCATTTTGGGCGGACCGCCGTAGTATCACTCATTGATTACTTAGTGGACCATTAGCTACCAAAAGTGGCTGGCCGATGACTAGCCACTATTAACATACTGAAAAGTTATCGGCCTGCCATTTATTGCTGCTGCCACTAGTGGTTCATTAAGTAACCAATGGCCAAAACTCAGATTAACCGCTAAAAAATGCCTTTATCAGTAAACTGTGAATCCGCTAAAACAATGTTTGCTGGATTATTTTGCAACTGATACTAAGTTTTATTCCACTAATAATTTAGATGGTTGCTTCATATAGAACAAATAGGAGAAGATTTAGAAATCAAGGTATGAAAGAAATTGTTGACAGTTGTTATTAAATAAATAATTTGTGAACCAGTAATGTTTCTAATGATTGTTGAAGTGTTTAAAATGGCGACAATATATTTGTCTTACTTTTAATGTGCATTGTCGAGGCCACATTTGGAGCCTTTTATTACGGCTTACGGTTTATTAGCAGTAATAGAGGCAGTTGCTTGGACTGTTAGATAGTATACTGAGTACTATATGTGCTTTGAATCAAGTTCTTTAACCAGTAAAAAATGACTAAAGTATCAAAAACTGGAAGTCACAAAAAATCATCGTCATCTCCAAGTTCTTTAAATTTATCATTCAGTAATATTCGTATTATTTGAAGTAACTTTTTTTATGTTGAGTCTCTTGCAAAGTTCACCAGATTTACTTGCTCTTGAGAGAATAATTTGAGTTCAGTTCTCTCATATTGTGATCTCAGTGTTGATGGTTACCTTTATTTAATTCTTAAAGACTCCAATAGTCACATGCTTATCCTGGGTATTTACATTCGTAAGAAATTCCCCAATTTTCGAGTAACCAAGTTTGAATCCACAGTCTATTCTTTTATGTGCTTTCGTTTTGCACCACTTTACTCTATTTCCTTTCTCTTTGTTTTATGTTGTTCTTCTTCATCTCACGACTGCATTCTCTTCTATGTTATTTGTGATTAAATTGACCAAATCTTTTCTCTTTATTCATTAGCCAATACCGTTGTTGTTGGTAACTTTAATATTCATTACACTGAATAACTTGGCTCTAGTGTCAGTGACTATGCACGTGTTAAGACCCACTTTTGCCTTTCTCAATGTCTAACATAAATAGTCATCTTTTTAACTTACTCTCCAGACAATCTAAATTGTTTTCTACTTGACTTTTGTTTTGTTTCTGATCTTAGAAAGTTATCAGTTTGCCATTAATAATGGTCTACCAAGTAACCGATGAGCAAAACTCTAATGAACTGCTAAATAATGCCTATATAGGTCCACTGAAAATCCATTAAAACAATATTTTTTGGATCTTCTAGAACTTGCGATCTGGACGACATACCTATAATAGTCTTGCAAAACTGTTCTTCGGAACTGTCGTCTACAATTTCAAAACTATTTAATAAGTACATATTAGAGTCTTGTTTTCCAGCCAACTGGAAAGCGCTATCTTTTAGCGCTATTTTCAAACAATTTAGAGAGCAATCTGACTCGTCTAACTACCGTCCCATTAGTCTTCTTACTATTATAAGCAAGATTTTTAAGTCTTCAATTGACAATTTTTTAATTTCTCATCTTAAACCTAATAACATACTTTCTGATAATCAATATGGATTACGATCTTTTCGTTCTACTGCTGATAAGTTAACGGTAATAACTGATAGGTTTTATCGAGGGTCATCGCTTTCTACATTTCTAAAGTATTTAATAAAGTTTAACATGCTGGTCTTCTCCATAAGCTCTCTTCTTACGGAGTAACAGGTAACATCCAAAGATTATTGAATCTTTTCTTACCAATTGTAGTATAAAAATTGTCTTTGATGGACAGCACTCTTCTTCATTTTCTGTAGCTTCACGGGTTCCTCAAGGTTCACAAGTTCCTTCTTTACTTTTTTACATTTATGATTTCCAAGAAATTCTTACATCTAAAGTGGCATTGTTTGCTGATGATACTACCATTTGTTCTTGTCTTGATAAGAAGCCAACACTCTATGATTGCTTAGAGGGGGCATTTGATCTTAAAAAGGCTCTCACTTTTGCTGCACCATTGAGCTCCCAGTGGCTAGTAAATTTATCTCAGATAAAACTCAACTTTTTTTAGCTAATCGCTATCGCAATAATCTAGATCTTCCTATGTTTATGAACGGTAATGTACTCGATGAGTTATCTATCTTTCATCTTCTTGGATTAACCTTCGATCTTTTTTGGATTTGAACCTTGGATTACCTACGATTTTTTTTGGAAACCATATATCAAATTGATTTCAAAACTAACATCTGCTAAGGTTGCATCTCTTTATTGTGCTTGCCACTTTTTTACTCCGTTTTTTATTCTTTATCTCTACAAGTTTCTAATCTGGATTCTATTCTTTACCTCTATAAATCCCTCATACGTTCTTGTATAGAATACTGTTGCCATAGCTGGAGCGGGTCTTCGAATGATGCCCTTTCTCTTTTAGACAAGGTGCAAAAATGCATTGTAAACATCGTAGGACCTGTTTTTGCAGCCAACCTTTAACCATTGTCACATTGTAATAATGTTGCTTCTCTTTCTACTTTCTTTAAAAACTATACTTGACGCTGCTTTAAAAAGCGTGTAATTTAGCGTGTAATTTAGCTAGCGTCTCTTGTGCCATCTACTCAAGTTCGAGTGTTACTCGTCATTTAATTAAGTCTCATCTTTTTTTTTTATAACTTTATAACATATTATTATAATTTTGTTTAAAGATATAATAAACCATTCATAGAGAATAAGAATGCGTCGTGCATGACATTAACAAAAATTTTATTATTAAAATGTAAATTTCACGTTTCATGTTATCATTCGACTTCAGAAGCTCATTTGAAAAACTTTAGAATGTTCTCCTGTAAAATTTTCAAATTAATGCTTTTGTACTGCTAAAGAAAATGCGTAAATTTTGTTTTTTACAAACTTACTGATATGGATACTTTTAATACATTTTGGTACTACTAAATTTTTTTTTTTTTTGTTCTGTTTACAATAAGGAAACACTCTAATCTAAGTTGTTTATAAAAATAAAACAATTTAAGTTATTTTTTAGCTTCACTTAACAACTTAAAAAATGTGTAGTAAATAAATGGCTGGCTTGTAAAAAAAAGTTGATAGAACATTGCATTAACAAACTATGTAGCTTGAACTGTGTGATAAATATCATTGTATAATGCTCAGCATTAAACAGCTTTATTGATTTATTTTTATATTATTATTATTGTTACTATTATATATATATATATATATATATATATATATATATATATATATATATATATATATATATATATATATATACATATATATATATATATATATATATATATATATATATATATATATATATATATATATATATATATATATATATATATATATATATATATATATATATATATATATATATATATATATATATATATATATTGAAACGCAAATTTATCTTCCGATATTTTTCTTTAATTCACTTTCCAATATTAAGTATATCTAACCAAGGTTCTAAAAAATGTCTTTACAACCATCCAACTCGGCGTTTTGCAAAACGAAAAATCCGTAACTCTGAGGAGGTAAAGAAAATGGTTGCCTATCAAATGTTCCATTAAGATTCGGAAGACTTCCATCCGATTTTAACTTTAACTGTTCTCCATTTAATAAAACTACTTTAGACTGAAGATTTTTATTTGGCGCCGTAAGTATAAACTTTTCAACTAAGCTATAACCAAACATTTTTACTTGCAAGATTGCTTCATTATCAACGTTAAAATTAATAGCCATTATAACTACTTGAGTAGATGAATTTCGAGCACAGTATGTATATATACGTAAATAACCGTTTTTAAGCGATTGATGTGATAATAAAACTTGCCCAACAAGTTTTTTATACAAAAGAGAACTCCAGTAGTCAGGCAGCGGGTCATGTGTGATGGGGTCTAACATTCCATAATACCCGCCGTACAAAGTCTGTCTAATAACAACTTTATGACAATCAGCAGCGGCAGTTCCTAGTTTTCCTAAATATAAGAACCCTGATGCAAAAGTATCTGAAAGATTCTGAGCACCTCCGCCACTAGCACTTCCCGTTTCACCCAACCAAAGATCAACATTCATTTTTTCTGAAGTAATCAATGAGCGTATCCAACCATTTTCTTCATGAAATTTATCAAGATAAAACGGGTTAAGAAACATCTCCATTGTAGAAAGATTTTGATGCATACTGTAATGGTGATACGTCACAGCATCAAGAAGAGGCTTATTTCTGAGAAAATTTTTTAAATACTTTAATGAATTGCAAGTAGGATGAGATATATCTGGTCCGTAAATTTTATGAGTTGTTATTGAACGTAGTTTAAGAAAGTCAGCTGCTAACTGACGTGGACTTATGCTAACTTTTGTTCCATACTTTTTAAAGCGGTTAGGTTCGTTTCCTAGAGTCCATATAGTTGTGAGATTTTTACCCTTCATGAATTTCATTATTTCAACAGCATTATTATTGTCCCAAGACATATTTGAATATCTTTTCAAAGCATTTAAACCAAAAATTAGTTCTAAATGGTTTACTTTTGCAAACAATCCGATTTCTTCAAAGTATTGGGAACTTATCTTAAAAGGTTTTAGTTTGCGCCAATTCTCAAACTCTGGTGTACACGACGTTTTAAAATCACTTTCCTTTGCTTTATCAAAAAAAGTCAAGAAATCTTGTGGCGTTCCACCTATACGGAGAAAAGCTGGGGATAACCCACTGGCAAGAACGTTAATTTTTGCTGACCTTAATGGAAAGCATCTAAAACGTCTCATTACTTCAATTGCATCTATTGAGAACGATAAAAAATTTCGATCCAACTTGCATCTGTTTCCAGAATGTATTTCTATTAATTGTTTTTGATTTTTTTGTTTTGGCGGTCGTTTTGCTAATAGCTTTTGAAGTTCGCAAAGCTTGCTTGTGTTATTATTTTCTGTCGCCTCATTAAATTTTGAATAGCAAATAATTAAGCTAAAAAATGTATAAACGAAAGCTATAACCATAGTTGAAGCGTAGTTTTCAATTTGTTATTTTCCCCGTTGTTTTCAATAAGAATGCACTTTAAACAAGCCAACATAGACAATTCTATTTATCGCTCAATCATATTTTATTTAAAAACTTAACACTTTTCGGTTCTGTTTGAACGTCATTAAATTCGGGTTTGAATGACGAATTCGAAGCTCAAAAACATTACTTCATATCAAATTTTGAACATGAAATCAAAACTTTAATTTCACGGGGGATTATTTGTGACAGCGTATGTAACTTTATAAAGCTAGAAAAACAAAGTTGGTAAATTAAGCCATATAGTATATGTTTATAACAATTGCAAACAGAGAGAAGATGTTTATATCAAGATTAATGGATTTTAATTATTTCATGAAAAATTTTCTTTTATAAAATGTAATAGAAAATTTGAATAATTTAATTAGGATCTGATTAAATAATTTATTTGAGAAAATTTATTCAAGAAATTTATTCAGAAAGTTTGGTCAAAACTTCTTTTAAACTTCTTTGAAATTAATTATTTTCAAAGGAGTTGTTCTGCTTAAATAAAGTTTTTCTTTTAAACGAATAATCGGCAAAACCCTTTATTAGTAAAAACTGAAACTGTTTAAAGTTATACTTGTTTCGCAGTTGGTGGTCTACATTTTTACTCCAAGAGTGTAGTAAATTTAGTAGAAATTCAAAAGATCCGTATTTCGATTAAAAATTGTACCCCCGGTAGCACTAATAAATTATACCAACGATAAAAACCGACATTTAAATTGTTCATTAAAGTTATTAAAAATCACACTTAAACTTTGTTTAATCTAAATTTAATATTTTAAAAGCTTATTTTTAATCGATTATGTCTAGATTGGCCTGTTATTGCTTTTTTTTTATTTGTAAAAATATTACAATGTTTGCGGTCGCTTTTGTTTGCACTTAAAATTAAAAATCTCAAAGAAATTATGAGTGTTTTAATAGCACTTTAAAGTACTATATTCACCTTTGTTTTTTGAATAATTTAAAAAGTATTTTTTACTTACTTTTTACGATTTGAATTTGCGTAATATGACTGACTATTTGCAAAATATTATTGATTGTAGCAAAGCATATGCAACGTGGTGTAGCAGCGCACGGTATCAATATATAATGCTGGCAATTTTAATTACTTTTTACGATTTGAATTTGCGTAATATGATTGACTATTTGCAAAATATTATTGATTAGCAAAGCATATGCAACGTGGTGTAGCAACGCACGGTATCAATATATAATGCTGGCAGTTTTAATTAAGCGTTATTAAATCGGCTACCGATTTTCTAAAAACTTGCAATGATTTTTAACATGTCTCATATTCAGAACGACTGAGTATAAGGTTTAAGTAATTTTGTTTGAGAAAATTCTATTGGAATTTATTTTGTGCTCATTAAGAAATTTTCTTTACTTTCCAGATCAAATAAAAATATTTTTATTTGATCTGGAGCTGATTTAAACCATACTTTTTATTAAAATGTTTACAATTACAATTACTACTATATACTTCTAAAAACCCATGGTGTGACGTGAACAAGCCAAAAAGGTCAGTTTACACGCATCCTACGTTTTAACTCAGGCCAGTAATACCAATCTTGTTAATAACCTTAAACATTCCAAAGAAAAGGCAAATATTTTGGAATGCCGTCTTGAATAATAAAATATTTCTTGTCTGAAACCAAGTTGCTTCAGAGCTAGACATGCAACGCTGTCCACATCTTATATCAAGGAAGAAAATTTTTCTGCACATATAATAATTCTGTGTTTCACAAGCTTCCCCTAAAGCATTTAAAAAATGATTAAAGGCATTTAAGTTTTTTTTAATTTTAGTAGGAGATCCTGTTTTGTTTCATATGGCAATGTAAAGCCATATATTTCGGTGATGCATTTTGTTGGAATAATGGAGATGTATAAATCTATGACAATATTACTTAAAATAATTAATTACAACAAACATGAAATTTTTTAAAAAAATCTCAATGCAGTTGCACTTGTTCGAGAAATGCAAATGATTAAGTATAAGCGTTTAATATGCCTTCGGAACAGTTATAATTAAAAAGCAATTATGAATTGAAGGAATGGCCTCCTTTATCAAATTAAATCGTAGGCAAGGTTAATATTGTACAATGTACAATATTACCCACTTGTAAGCGCATTGAAATTACATCAAGCTAGAACAAACAAAGATTTCTTTTGATACCTTATTTTTTCCGTCACTTTTAGAAGTTATTAAATTAAATTAGCATCCTAAATTTAAAAATCTAGACCATTTAAAAAACGAGCAAAGTCAATATTAGGAATTTCAATATCTTTATCATACTTTCATTGAAAATATTTACTCTTGAAGTTACCAATAATTTTCTTTGATATATTTTATGATATCGGAACAGAAATTTTATCATTTCAATATCGAATTATTTTGAAAAAAAAAGTATACAATATATATATCGAATCACGTTCAGTTTATAACCAAAAACAGAAAGTTTTGTCATTTTTATTACTATACTTTAATCATTTCTTTTTTTTTTTCTTTTTTTTAAATCATTTTATTACTTTTTTTTATTTCTTAACATCTTAAAATTGTCTTTTTTTTTTTAATGCTGTTGCTTACGGATATTTATTTGCGTTACTATTGGGGCTCGGTGATAAAGCTAATTTATGCTTTCTTCTTGCTCCAGCCAATTGTACTTTTTTTTTATTGTTGTACCTTGTGAATATTTTTAACGGTGAAATAAATTTATAAAACTTTAAACTTCTAGACATAAGCCTTTGAGTCCAGAAAAAAAAAGAAGTTTCTACTGCGTTTTTTTCCTTTCTTGCGCGACCTAATGTACAATAAGGTTAATTAAAAAGATAATGTTTAAAAATATTCTATAGTTGATATTATTTACAAATTTATTAAGAAAAAAAAATAACTCAAAGAATAATGCAAAGAAAAAAAAAATAATTCAAAGAATATATTATTCCTTTTTGTTCAACTTAAATAAGTAAAGTTTTTGACAAAATTATAAAAATGATGCTAATCAAAATTTCAAAATAAGACATTTTTAAAGGGTTTGATATTACATTCAACTTTATTAAAAAGGAGTAGCATTCGTTTTTTAGATTTAATCAGGGGTTTAAATTTCAATAGGTGTTGATCGATCAATTAAATTAAGACCTTTATCAGAATAAAATTTATAAATACAGCGTCATAAATTTTTGAAATATCTGGACCGGGCTAATTTAAAAAGAATTTCAAATCTATCTAAAATTAATTATTCAAAAAGTTGTTCTTGATGAATAACTGATGAATGATTGATGTCATTGATGAACAAGGTGTTTTTAAAGTTTAATTGATGCTTCCCATGTTTAAACATTTTTAAAATGCCAATCCATTATTAAAGCAACAACTATTTTTAAAAAATTTTTTTGTTTTGATCCTAAGCTTTAACGTTAATGGTGTAAAAATTTTCAATTTAAAGGGTTGTTTATTATTGAAAAGTAATTCAAGACATCTAAGAAGACATCACTCCTTAAAAAAATGTACTTAAAAGGTATATGTAAATGTATATATATACATTCATACATTTATAACTCAGTAATTACAATAATAAATATAGCAATTTTAATTATATTTTTTTTTAGGAAATTCTATACTTCTGCTTTTTTGCTTATGTACAATGTTTTCTTTTGGAAAATTTTTGATAACCAAGTAAGTATTTTATTTTGGTTTAGAGAGAGCTAATTTTAGAATATTGTCGTCAAACTTTGAAATAATTATTTATTACGACTTTGAAAACACATTGTTATATGCACAACTTGTTTGACCGTGCAGCGGCATTTTTTGTCAAAGTTCGTGTTTCAGATTTATAGAGTTTGGATAGGATTGTAACCACATTAAATTAGCCTTTTCGGTTGAAGTAGCCTTCTCATCCTTGAAAAGGTGAATTACATAAAAAAAGATATACATACATAATGTGATTAAACTTAAATATGTTTTTCAGATTAAAATATGCTTTTCAGATTAATTCACTTATTACATCTTAAAATTTACTTTTTAGCAAAACCATTTCCGATGCTGAAGTCAACCGTACTATTAGCAATCTACTTGATGGCTATGATTGTCGATTAAGACCAGATTATTTAGGTAGGCTTTTGTCATCTTATAAAACATATTTTTTAAGTAACGTATTCTTTAAACATGTTAGAATAATAAAATTTTAAATAATAAAACAAGTTAGCTTTTACAACATATTTTAAGGAGTGTCTTAAAAGTAAAATTAAAAGTAGAAATTCAAAAAGTTTGTTAAATTTGTTGTTATTGTGGAGAAAAGTGGCGTAGGAAGGTCGCGAAAGTTGGGGGAGGGGGGAACTGAAAAATATATTAAAAAGGAAAAAGCTTCTCAATTTTGCATAATACAGCAAAATAGATGAAAATGATCTATTTATTCAATTATTTATCACACGCAGCGTGATTAATCATCTTTTTAACATGATTAGTCATCTTTTGCCACTACACATTTAAAAAATAGTTAGTATGCGATAGTATCTTAAACAGTTTTGTAGATATACTTTTCCATGGTGTTGTTTAATTGTAATTGAGTCATTGCAGACTGGAAAATGGTAATTCCGCTGTTGCTGTCATAAAATATTTTTTTAAAACTGTTTAGGAAATAGGGTGGCTCAATGCAGTGTCCGCGCCCCCAGTGTTTTAGTTAAAGGAGGGGGGCTATTGCCCTTTCCGCCCCCTTGTTCCTACGCCAATATATATATATATATATATATATATATATATATATATATATATATATATATATATATATATATATATATATATATATGTACATATATAGGGGAGAGTGGGGCACTGGGGTGTTTCCCAACAATTTTTCAAAATGGTTACACTACTTGCATACTTGGATAACGGCGTAAATAAATTTAAAATATTATCTAGAGAGAGCTTCTTGAAAAAATAGCGTTTTTCACACTTTTACTAACATTAAATTTAAATAACTTAAAAACAATTAATTTTATATTATGTTACTTGGTATATATATTAGAGGTTATCATATGAAAATTTGGCCAAATTTTTTAAAAAGTTGGCTAATGTCTAAAGGTCGTTGTATTATAAAGTTTTATTTTCTGACATATTTTTTAATTAAAAGATGTTTCAATAGACAATGTCTATACTCTGTATATTCCATTGATGGGTCATGGAGGTCAAATTTATAGTGGGTCGCGTTATTGAAGCGCGAAGCCTATACCTTGAGAAAGATATTTATTTAAACTAAAAATTTTGAAAACTTTAAAAGTAACCTAAATTAAGTCATATCTAGCTATTTATCTTAAGCATTAATGATTTTTTCATTGCTAGAAATTCACAGATTGAACATCGCCGTTTTGAACAATTTGACAAAAAATTAGCAGGTAACCTCTAAACCGCTCAGACTGTTAAAAATGAAACTTGTGCTTTTAATATATGCAAATGAACTTTTCTTTAGTAAGTCATTAATTGCTTAAGATATTTATTTGGTTTCTCGCTCTCAACATCTTCATTGTCTGATTTCGTTATTAAATTGATTTTCAAAATCTAGATTGTAGAGGCAAATTTTAAAACTAAAAAGTTATTTTTTTTTGTTCTTTTTACTACATTTTAAATAAGCATTTTGTTACATTATTTAAAATCCAAATAAATAATAATAATAATAATATATATATATATATATATATATATATATATATATATATATATATATATATTATATATAAACAATTTAAAATGTATTCTTCAAAAAGAGTGCTTAATGTTCTTAAAAGAACAGAGCAATTACAAATTAGTATATATATATATATATATATATATATATATATATATATAATATATATATATATATATATATATATATATATATATATATACAATGATCGTAATGAATTAATAAAAGAACGCGGGGACTCGTAGAAGATCATACAGTATTGTCGTCGAGTACCGCTAAGAAATGTTCGTGTAAAAATTTTTAAGATTTTTACAAGATAAAAAATAAGTAACGAAGTAAGAAACTTAAAATATTCCGTTACAAATACAAGATACAATATTACATATTACAGTTGTTAATGATCCATATATAATTTTTAAAAATTCATGCTTAAATATAGGGAAAAAAAGGAAGATCACTAAAAAATATCAAAGGCATATTGTTAAATCTTCGATTGTAAAAATGAGTTCTTTACGCTTTCGTTTAATAGAAAAATAGTTACTTTGATGAATTAAATCCTCAGTAAAATTTTTAAAAAACATTTTATTCCATAAGAATGGTCCGCAATAATCAACACAAAATTTAAAAGATTTGTTTGAAAAATGGGCTGCTTTATAAAGTTATCATTGCGTAAAATGTATTTATTTTTGTCTTTTGATGAATACAAATTATGGAAAGAGATCGGGGATGAATTGGTTTAACATTTAAACATAAAACAAAGAATATTAAAAATATTAAGGTCATATATATTAAAAACTTTCATTTCAAATAATAAAGGCTTGGCATGAGTATAACGGTCTTTAAAATATATAAGACGTGTTACGTGCTTCTGATAGTAAAGAGGTTTAAGTTTATTTTTATTTGTACTATCCCAAGCAATGTTTGGATAGTTTATGTGACAATGAATAAATGAGTGATTTAACTGTACTAAAGTTTGTTTATTTAAAACATTTCTTGCTTTGTACAATATTCCTAAACTTTTTTGAAATTTTACTTGATAAGTTTTTTATGTGATTTTTCCATGTAAGGTTCTATACAAACATCTAGAGAGTTGGTTACTGTTGATTGTTTAATTTGTATACTGTCAATAACAAGAGGAGACATGTTAATTGGAATTTTATTTTTTTGATAAGAAGATGCAAAAGAATCCATTTAGTTTTATCAATGTTAAGAGATAATTTGTTGGTCTTAAACCAGACAGATATTTTTATTAATTTGATGTTCACGTAATGAAATAGAGTACGAATGCTTTTGTCTGATATAAATAAATTAGTGTCATCAGCAAACATAATTGTGATTAAATCCGAGGCTTTGTATAGATCATTTATATAAACAAGGAAAAGAAGAGGTCCTTATATGGATCCTTGAGGAACTCCACATGAAATATTTAACAAATTTGATGAAAATGATTGATTGGCGTAAACAAATTGTTTCCGATTAGTTGAGTAACTTTTCAACCATTTCAAAACATTGCTTGTTATACCATAATATTTTTATTTTTTAGCAAGAATTTTATGATCAATGGTATCAAACGCTTTCACTAAATCAATAAATATTTCCAAAGTGCATTTAGAATTGTTAAATGAGTCTGATATACTTCTTGTAAGCTGAATAATAGCATGTTCTGTTGAATTATTTTTTTTCAATCTATATTGTATGTTATATAATAATTTGTTTGATAAAAGGTGATTGTATATCCTGTTGTACAAAATTATTTCTAATATTTCAGAAAAAACAGAGAGGATAGAAATTGGACGATAGTGTTTTACATTAGTTTTTTCTTCTTCTTTAAATATAGGAATAATTGTTGTTATTTTTAAATCATCAGGAAAAACTCTCTGATTGATAGAGCATTAAAAAATTTGGAAAAGTATGTCTTTTAAAACGTTAAAACAGTTTATAATAAACATTCCCATTGACATCATCTGGACCAACTGTTTTATTTGACTTTAACAATTTTAAAGCACTTTCAAAATCTTTAAAAGACAAATCAAAAAAGTTTAGATCGAATTTAGAGGGTCATATGTTGCCTTTATTAATTTTTTAGGGTTTGGAATTTTTTCGGCTAGGTTTGGTCCTACAGATACAAAAAGCTTATCAAATTGAAAAGCAATTATTTTTTGATTCAGAAAAAAATTATCATCTATTTTAATAACTGAGTGCAAATCTTGCGACACTTTTTTAGTGTAACCAGTAATTTTGTTTATTGTCAAGTGTGTTTTGAGTTTAATTAAATATAATGTTTTCTAATTTTTCCTTAACCTTAATTTCCCCATCTTGTGCGTCGGTTCAATTTCAATATTTAAATCCAAGTTTTGAATTTTTTCTTTGCTCAATTCCCACGTTTCATTTTCGTCTTCTTCAATTCCCGTAAACCTTAAGTTATTTCTTCTGCTCCTGTCTTCCAACTCAGCTAGTTGGTTTTTGACAACAACGTTTGTTATATCATTTTGGTTTGATGATAAGTTTGGCTTTTTTTTTTATTTCAGAAAGTTCTTGAACAACTGATTCATATTTCTTGCTTAAAAACTCCGCCGATTTCCTTTTCATTAGTTTTTTTTTAGTTTTGTATTTTCTTCTTGAAGACTTAATAGCTTAATTACCATTTTGTCAAACTTCTCATTAAATATTTTTAATAAAGTATTCTCATGAATATCTAATAGGTCTTTTATTTGAGAAACGGTAAATTTATCCATTTTTAATTTAATTTAGAAGCACGTCAAAAGTTTTTGCGTAATGAATTGATATTTTGTATACCTGATTCTCCATCCAATTCCACCAAATCATTGCTTTTATCATCAGAGTTCTCAACAATGATTATTTGCCATCTTCTGCGGAAATTCACATTCATTTGCTCATATTTTTTAAATATTGTAATAAGTTTCTATTATTTCTGAACATAGCAATGGGAATAAAAACTGTCTTAAAAAAGTAAGTTTGAGAAGTTGTAATATATAATATATATATATATATATATATATATATATATATATATATATATATATATATATATATATATATATATATATATATATATATATATATATATATATATATATATATATTTATTATTTCTATAATCAATTTTTGTTTTCTTTATATTATATATTGTGAAAATTAGCATTATATTTATTTTAATTAGATATTATTAACATTAGTAGTTGTTTACTTTATATTAGTAAACTTACTATTTGTAAACATCCTTGAATGTAAAATCTTAATTCAGAAATAAATGGTTGATTAATTGATTTAGTCGCTCATTAATAAAAAACACTTTAATTTTTAGAATAAAGTAAAAATTCATTAAAACAAATCTCATATTTTTATACGAGCTTTGTTTTATTGAATTTTTAAAGTAAAAATTTAAGATTAAAAATCCGGAAAACTGTTTGAATAAAATATTCGGAAAAAATCCGGAATTTGTTTTCCCTTTTTTTCCTTTTAATTTCGCTTTTAGCTAAGTTTTTTTCTAATTTTTTTTGACACTTTTCATTATTTTTCTATGAGTGATGAGAGAAAAAGCTTTAAAATATATACATAAAATTATATACCTTAACTTGCATGTATTGAAAATGATTTAGATATCCGGAAAAACTAAAAGTTGAAAAAAGTATCTGGAATTCCGGAAACATCCAGAAAAAGATAATCCCTGCTTACACCAGTTCAAGTAAGAGCTCTAGCTTTTGAAATGAATCAAGCAAACAAAATGTCCCATGCGTTGGATAGAACTAAAAAAGGTTGGTCGAGATTGGTTGACAGGATTTTAAAAAAGAAACCCAAAACTATCAAAATTTTTTAATCTTGATGAGAGGTTTTACTACTCTGCAGAAAACTCCTCATCTCATTGCATGAAAAGGAACAAAGCATCTGGGAAATAACATCTTGAGAAAGAGGTGAATCAGTAAAAGTGTGTTGCATTGTCTCTGAAGCTGGTGTAGCAATACCCCCTGTTATTGTTTTTCCACAAAAATTATTTAGAAACCTACTAATGAGAGGAGCACCAGAAGGTTCTATTGGATTAGCCAATCAATCTGGATGGATGAATGCTGAAATATTTATAGATGTTTTAAAGCATTTTGTTAAGTTTGCTCGTCCAACAGCCGATCACAAAGTTTCATTGATTATGGATAACTATGAAAGCTACCTTTCACTATAGTCACTTGAATATGCAAAAGAGAAACATGTTTGTATGATGATTTTGCCACCTCATACTTCACATAAGAAACAATTTTTAGATAGGTCTGTGTTTAGTCCAATGAAAACATATTTTAATGCAACTGACAATAGCTGGATGCTTAGCAATCTAGGACAAGCCATTAAAATTTATGAGATGGCCAGTCTCATTCGACAAGCATGGAAAAAATCTTCCACACCAACAAATATTATGTTAGGATTTCGCGTGACAGGAATTTGGTCTTATGATAGACATGTATATGATGATATTTTTTTACCATGAGTTGTAACAGATAGAGATGTGTCTCAAGATCCATACAGTGAAGGCTCATGTGAGAAATTGATTACAACTGCTACTCCTTCAGATATCTCAGATTTGAATGGGCAACATGAAGCAGTAAAAGAAAACTTAACTGTATTTTCTCCTGAGATTGTACGAGGTTATCCAAAAGTAATTTAAACTAAATACTCTCAGTTTAGGTTTTCTTTAAATTCTATATTTATTTAATACTATAATATATATTTAGCAGGTACCTTTTTATAAGATTTTAAAGCGTGAACATAAAAAGGGAAAGTGTATGATAGCCACATCAACACTAGAATAAAAGACGAAGTATTAAACAAAAAAAAGGTAAAAAAATTGTCTTTCTAAAATCCAAAAATGTTAGAAAAAGCATATTACGCAAATCGAACAGTGACTTTGATGTAGACTTCAACAAAATAACAAACGATGTTTCTGCTAATTGTTACTCACTAGAGTTTGAATAAGAGTTGGAAGCTGTTTCTTTTAGCACTATTCAAAATGTGAGTGTTAGTGATTATGTTCTTTGCAAGATTTGTAGTAAAAACATCATTTCTTATTATGTAGGCATAGTGCAGAAAGAAATAGATACAAATGTTGATGTAGAAATCAGCTTCCTGAAATGCCAGAATAAAAAAACTTCTAAATTTTTCAAACCTAGAATTAATGACATTCGTAGTGTGAACGTTAATGATATAAAAGCAGTCCTGCCAAATCCGCTCGTTGGAACAACATCTAGAACAAATGGTGAAATCGCTTTCCAAGTGAACTTTGGCATCTTAAATGTAAAGTAACTTTTTTCTTTTTTTAACAAAGAAATTTTAATTCTTAAAATGTAATCTTAATTTGAATAAAAACGGCATTGATAATTTGATTTTTTTATCCTATTTACCTTTCCAAAAGGGTCACTTCAGGGAAGGAGGCTGTGCATTTTTTTATATTTATAAATATTTTTCTTATTGTGGTTACAATTCTCTCTTAAATCTTTTAAATCAATAGCAGGGTTCCTCTAAAATCAAAAAATATATACTTTATTAAAAGATTCTGTCAATCTTAGGGGGTGGATTCGGTGCCCCAAAAATTGCTTTATTTTTAAAGACGAGTTTGGTTCAGATCATACATCAAATAAAAAAGATATTGCTATTACTCTGAAAAATTGTGTCCCACTTTCCTGCACTGTAAAATATAATATATGTCAGGAATTAAGAAAATGCATTTTAGTTTGTCGTTTAAACGACGAAATGCTTTTTAAGTTCTTAATATTCTATTTTGGAAATGATGACATTAACCAATTTTTTAACCTTTAATATATACACCAAGTAACGTAAAACTAATTATGTTTTAAGTTGTTTAAATGTAAAGTTGAAAAAGTGTAAAATTGCCATTTTTTCAAGATGGCGAACTCTAGATGAAGTTTTTAAATTTTAAATTTACAGACGTGTTTTTTTTTTGCCTTTTAATCACCTCGTTATGCAAGTAACGTAACCATTTTTGAAAAATTGTCTTGTATAAAATGTCACTTTAGCTTTTACTTCATAGAAATTTTTTTTATTCTTTTTTTTTTTTTTGACTTTTTTTAGGCAATTTCTTTACTAATAACTGTTTTACGATATGAAAGTGGTCGTTACAACTCTTAAGATGCCTCCACAGTTACAGCATTACAATTTTTCATGGTTCCCTTATCTATCACTCTCTGCTATATATAAGCTGTTGAGAATCAGCATGGTAAATCAAAAAAAAAAAAAAAAATTTAAAAGGTTAAGTCAATATCAGAGGTGGAAAGTAACGAATTACATATACTTGCGTTACTGCAATTGAGTAGTTACTTTGTGAATTTCTACTTTTTAAGTATTTTTTTAAATGTGTACTTTTACTTTTACTTAAGTATTTTTTTTCTAAAGGATTGTACTTTGCTACATTTGAAATCAAATGCATTACTTAGTAAAAAAATTTATTATGTATTGTTTAATTTCACAAATACTATGATTTAACTTTTTTGTTTTTATTGAGTTTTACTCACTTTAATGAACAGGACACTTTTAAATTGTTTAGAAAAAAATGTTGAGCGCGCTCATAACGACTTATAACTTATAACTGCTTTAGCTTGGTTTCTTTTCACTTTTTATGACCATAAAAAAATTTATTCAGTAAAAAATAGATAACTTTGTTTTTGTATTTTTATTCGACAACTTTGTTACTGAAAAAGTAACGCGATATATTTTACTCTGAGTACGTTTTTCATAAGCTACTTATAACTTTTACTTTAGTAAACTTTTCGACCGGTAACTTTTACTTGTACTTGAGTAAAATTTCACTCAAGTAACAGTACTTTTACTTGAGTACATTTTTTTTTTTACTTTTTCCACCTCTGGTCAATATGATAAAAAAGGATCATTCTGTTAAGTTTGAGACCATATGGGACTTATCTGAAAATATGTTTTTGAAACTAATTTTTTTTATCTAGTTTTAGTTTTTGTAAAATAAAATCATGGTCAAGCAAGAAAAGCAGCGTTTTTAAATACGTTTTGAATATATCTGTTGTGTATGCATATGTACAAACGTATATTTCGACAATATATAATTTATATTAAATATAAATTTATATGAACATAAATTTATATGAAAATAATCAAAATTAATATATTAGTAAAAAGCACACTTTTGTTTTAGGTAAACCAGTAGAAGTCATTGTTGAAGCCACGATTTTGTCAATTAAAAGTGTGGATATTATAAAAATGGTAAAACCTTTAAGCTAACCAAAAAAATTATATGGTCGATAAACATTTTCATCTATTTTTAAGCGTGATAAGAAATAAAATTACAGATTCTTTAAACAACTATATATATAAACTAATAAAATATATAAACAAAATATGTAAAAATAATTATATATAAACAATTATACACAAACAAAATAAACAGTTTTAACTAAAGCTGTATTTCAGCTCAAGACATTTTTTCCTTTTTTGACAATAAGATTAAAGCCTCTATAATCCACGCATATCTAGGGCTCAGTTATTTTAGTTTTAAATTATTACTTTTGTTCTGAATATTTTTAAACTAATTTTTATAGGTAATAATTTTTATAGGTACAATTACCACCAAATTACCACCATTTTACCAACTAATTACCTACAATTTACCACCAATTACTTACAAATTACCATCATTCTGTTCAAGTTTGCCGTTAATACAATACTTATAGTTTTTTTATTTATAAAATATAAGCGAGCTAGAAAAAAACATCTGATTGTCTTATAACTAAGCTACTAACTACAAAACTATGATCTATTATCAAGAGAGGATTAAAGGTACCCAGAACCAGAGGCACAAAAAAAACAAACTCATTTTTCTAAAAAAATTTCCCATAATTTTACTTTGTTAGTGAACTTTGCTTTTTTCCTAAACTAACTAACCAATATTCGATAAACAAAATTTTTTTAATGAAAAATCTAGTATTGATAAATTTAAGACAGGAAGCTTATTTATTTGTGGAGAAAGTGTCAAAGGATGGTGTAATTTGATAACGGTTTTGATAGTTTTAACATAACTGATTTATTAACTGAAGCTTTACGAGCTGCTAAGGCACCAGATGAACTTTCAGAAAAAGACAAACTTTAAAAAATTAATATCTAGCTGTAGATTTTAATTTTTTTAAGCAAAAAATTCGGGAGGTTGTCTCCTGTTTATCCGCAATTATGCTACAACTATGCTTTAAATCTAACAGTAATAAAATAATTTTATACTGAAAAAAAAAGAAATATTCACAACGATGAAGTTGTTGAATATTTTTCAGAAATGAATCTGATTTTGAAAATGAAGCACAGGAACAGGAAGTGCTGCAATTAAATATTTCAATTAAAAATGCAATTAAAGGTATACAAAAATTGTAAAGAAATTTATGAAAATCTCCTATAAAAAGTCATGTTCTACTGAGATATTTAACTGAAAAAAAACCTATTGCATTAGCTTTAAAATATTGGTAATTTTTTAGAGCTCGTTAGATTAAGTGTTGATACTTTAATTGAGAAGACTTCACATCTTCACTGGTCGAAGGGGCTTTTAAATTCATTATTTGGAAGTTAAATGAAGTTAATTCTATAATAAGCCATGAATTTCTACAAAAAATAAAATAAGAAATCAATATCAAAACTAATAATCATATTATATCCTTTTATAACTTTTTAAAAAATGCTCTGAACACAAAGATGCACTTGCTTGTTCTTTTTTTAAATCTGCTCCGATAAATGAAATTTATAAAGTTTGCATTGAAATAGATAGTGACGAGAACAGCGGTGATTTTGCTAATGCTGAAGCTAAATTAGAGTATTATAACAAAATACAAATATCTTATTTATTTATATTTGGTTTGTATTTTGTTAGATTTTGCGAAAAAAATGGGATAAGACTATTGTCTTCTATAGAAGATATATATATATTTTTGTTTTTTTGTTTATATATATTCGTCATTATTAATATAAATTTGTACAACATTTTACCGTGAAATATATGGCTGGAACTAGTATACTTGTTCCAGTCATATATTTCACGGTAAAATGTTATATCTCCAGGAATAGTTAAATTTATCAATTGAAGACACTATTAAAGAAATAAATGCTGTCAATGGTATTAACAAAAGTTCAAGTAAAACAACAAGACAAAAATAAAATACATTTCAAATAACTGGTACCAGAGGAAAAAATTTAGAACTTTTTAGGAATGTACTGCCAACAATAAAACCTACACCAACGCAAAACAAACAAAATTTTTCCATTTCCAGTGATTTTGTTACAAAGGAAAGAACTAGGCTATTAAGCAAAACATTAAACACGCTATGTTTTCTGAAATTCCTTTTTTAAAACAGAGAAGTAGTTCTACATTTATATTTATCAATTTTAAAAAATATAAAAATTATAAAAAATTTTTATAATTGATTTTCAACTTTTAAACTACGTATATAATTTTTATATATATATATTTTATACGTATATAATATATATATGTATATAATTTCTTTCAAATAAAATCTAATTTTTCAGTTTTTATTTAATGTGTTTGTTAATTAATGGTTATCATTTTTCAACTTTTATTAATTTTCAATTATGTAACGTTATTAAGAAATATTTTTTGATAATATAACTAATGAATATGTAACTTAAAAGCGTTTTTTTATAATTTATTTCTAACCCTAAATGTTTTTCACATTTATTTATGCACATTTCTTTTACTTATTATTCAACATTTTTGGACAAATATATTTTATATTCTCAAGAATTCTCAAGAAGGAAGACAAATTTCTTTATTTTTCGAGAAATATGCTTTGAAATTTTCTTCCATCTTTATATTTTCCTAACTAATACAATTTATAATTTTTTGAGCCATCTATCAATAGCTTTCAACACAATTTATTTTCTTTGCTTTCTGTTAACTCTTAAGTAACTACTTTTTTTTTTAGACATATACCATGGAGTTATTTTTCCGACAACGTTGGCGAGACTATAGACTTAAGCATAACCTGGATCAAAATCTTCAAATAACCGTTGGTGAGAAACATCCAGCAGATATAATTTGGACTCCAGATACAGTATTCATTAACTCTGCAGTCAGCAATCTTTTCCATTTAACTGTTAACAATCACCATGTTGATATTTCACCATTAGGAGAAGTGTTCTGGGGTACAAGGTAATGACAATTAAAAATTTATTCTTACACAGATCTATATATAACTTTAAAAAATATATTATTATAATTCAATAAGAACCTTGTCTACTGGATTTGGCAGAGTTTTCTCGCATTTTTAAAAGTAGTTGGTACACCACCCGCATTTTATATAATTTATTTATTATGATCGATGCATGCTTACTAAAATGTATGCAATATTATGCTTTACCTATATCTCCAAGGTATCTTTTAGGTATTTTAAGATATAAGTAAAAAATCAGATTTTGTTTTAAACAAGTGTTAGTGTTTTTTATAAAAAAAATTTATAAAACAATAATTTAATGTAAAAATTTAATGATGTTGATGATGATTTTCAATACAATCCTCAATCACTGCACAACCTTAAACCAATGTTGTAACATCCAGCAAATCAAGATCAAAACTATATAAAATGACCTGGGTATTAAGTTTACATTGATTCTGCCACAAAAACAACTTATATGACTCTTGATAAATTTCAGAAAAATCTTTTTAGTGAAAGATTTTGCAACTACTTTACTTTTTTCGTATCTTTACTGAATTAAAATTGTTATAGCGGAAGACTTAAGAAAGATTTGAGTTTTAGTCAATTAAAAGGCAATCGGAAAAATCTAATTTTCTTATTCAACACTAGAACTCTAAAATCTTAACAAACAAGGCACAGAGAAACAAGTTGAAACATATGCAGAATCAATGATATTCTTTTTATTATCATTGATGCTTTAACAATGTCTTAGTTTGATCATTAATGATTAATGTTTGTTTTTTTCTGCTTGATTGATATAATATATAATATACGTCATATTATAATCTGTCAAATGTTAAAAAACAATTTAAAAAAAAGGTAATCTTCAGAACTATTGAAACTATGACAACTAGTCATAACTTTTATACTTTAATGATTTTAATATATTAGATAAAAGTATATTTTTAGTAAACTAATTTTTTTTAGTTTAATAATAGTTAATACCTGCAAAAAAAGGATTGAGTACAAATGACTACCTGAAAAAAAAAAGCAGTTAAAAGCAAATGAAAATAAATTCATTTGAAGTTTATGCTATATTTACTTTTGTGATTTTTTAAATTTATCTTTATTACATTTTATTTAGAGTAAGTGTTTCTCCCAAATGCGTTGTGAATTTAGTATTATATCCTATGGATATTCGAACATGTGTCATAGAAACTGTCAGTTGTAAGTTATTTACTTGTTGCATTTTATTACAGACAATCAGCAGATTATATTTAGGTACAAAAAACTGTTTTTACCTAAATATAATCTGTTCAATGTTTGACCACCAACTAACATATTTTGTCTATTTAATTATAAAATGACTGCATATTGAATTGTCAATGATAATCAAAAAGAAATGGCAAAGTAAATGCAAAAAAATGTATTCATAAAATAATTGCAAAGAAGTTTTTTATAGTTGTATTAAAAAATAAAAATTGTAAATAAAAATAAAAATTAATCGGTGTATTTATAACACTCGTGTCATTTCAAGAATGATTAAATAACATTAAAGTTAATAAACAACATAATCAATAAATAAAATTAATAGATTTAGTTTAGAAATTTATAAGGAAATGCTGAAACAAATTTTATACTTTTTTAATTATTAATATACATCATGCTGGTTTATAGTTGGACTATTTTTTATCTTTAATTTATACAAAAATTTTATTGCTTAACTGGTAATTAAAAATGCGTTAAAATTAATTATATTTTGCAATACTAAAATTCCCTAAGGTTTGAAAATAATTGAAAATGCTTAACTTATTAATAAAAAACACCAAAATATCATAAAATACTGTTTATGTAATCTGTTCTTCCCCTCTTAACCTGCTAATCCACGTTCTTTTTTTTCGCTATTACTAACATTTGTTAAGAATTTGTTACTAATATTTGTCAAATCCACAAACACTAATGCAAGGCAATGGTTTTTACCTTTTACCTATTTTAAACTTCCTCTGCCACTCAGACCTAGAATTTAAATAAATTATTAATAAATTTAAAGACCTTTGATATATTATTTCATTTTAATTACTAATTGTTTAATTATAATAATACAAAAACTTATAAAAAAACACAAATATTCAAATAAATATAATGTTAAACTACTCAGGTCAGTTCAGAAATAAGATCACCATGATTTTCCTGCTATTGGTAAAATATAATTAAATACAATCTTCCCCATGCCTTGCTGCCTTGAAGTATACACCTTTCTAGGCAAAAGTTTGGAGAAGTAAACTTTGACTTGACGTAGATCTGCCATAGTGCTCTAGGTTGAGTAAACACTTGATGGTGTTTTAATAAAATTACTCATCATGATGCTTAATGTATTTAGCTACTGCTTTGTAGAAAGCGTCCGAAGTAGGCTTTAGGGTGAGCAAAAAAATTCTGTTGACTAGCCTTGTAACCCTTCTTTTTTTATAAGAGTGGCAGGGATATAAATCTATAGTGTATTTTTTCCTACCTAGGATAGTTAACACTGGATATTCATAACTCTATTAACGAGTTTTTTCTTGTGTCTCACTGTTCTCAGAGAGGTTAACTCTATAAACAGCTAAATTATTGGAGTGTTAACTCTCTGTTAGACCATATAGCGTTAGATCAATTAGCGAGACTCAGATAACTGCATATCTCTTTATGTACTATCTATGATTGAGTAAATTCCTTTAAAATCTTGAAACATGACATGAGTACCAATAACTTTAAACATAAAAAATGATAAATATTATATATATATAATATTTATCATTTTTCCCCTTCCCCCCTATATTTAATGACATCATTTGTGGATGGCCTCTAAAGAATCTAAACTACTCTGCAACCGAAAAAAGTTATTTCTTATCATGTCATTTTGAAAAAATAATATCTATTTTTTTTATTGTAAACTGATATTATAATATTATTATTATAAATTATTTAAAACTTTTGATTTTTAAACTTTATTTTTTACTATTTAGTTCAGTGTCAAAAATACTTGATAAAAAACTTAAAGTAGTAATTCAATATATTTAAATCATTTGCTGTTATCAGCTAAATAAAAAGCACCGGTTTCTATTAGTATTAAAATAACTATTACATAAATATAAATTTTAATAGCTAAAATATATTTTTAAAAGTATAAAAAATAGTAAGATGAACTGTAATATTTGCAAATATTATCATTTGAAAGAATTTTAAGGAACGAGATAAAAAAAAGCTGAAAAACTTAGAAAAATTAGACTCTCCGCAAAGACAAGAAAAAAAGACTGTCCATGCAGAATCATTGCCAAAACCTTCGCAATGTTTCTGCATTTTGACAATTAATTCAAAATATTATCAAATAATAAAAATAAAATAAAAAAATAAATGTAATGTTTTAATTGCAGATATAAAAAACATGGTGTGTAATTGAAAAAAAAAACGGATTTAAAAAAAAATTACATAAATACCTATTTCGTTGTGATTAAATAAAATGACTTTTAGATGGTTACTCTACTCGCCATATACAATACAAATGGAGCTCACATAATCCAATTATTGTGCAAGATAAGCAAATGAACCAATTTGTAATGACTGGTTTTGACACTATCGCTCAAGATAAAGTATTTATTTCCGGTATTTAATTTTTATTTAAAACAAATTAAAGCAAAAATTTTTTTTTATAGTTTACATGTAATATTTAGTGTTTATATATACATATATATAATATATGTATATATATATACATTATGTATAAAATTATGTCAGTGTATTCTACAGACAGAGTAGTTAATGTTCTTAAAGAGCAGAGCAATAATAAATGCCAAGCCTCTTTTATTTGAAATGAAAATTCTTAATATATATCAGCTGAATGTTTTTAATATTCTTTGTTTTATGTATAAATGTAAAACTAACTCTTCCCCAGTTTCTTTCCATAATTTATAGACACTGAAATATAAAAATAAATACAATTTAAGAAATGATAATTTAATTCGTCAACTATTTTTTCAGACTAATTTTGGAAAATCTAGTATTTCTTTTCAAGGAGCATATTTTTGGAAGAAAATAGTTTTAAAACATTTTAATTTTTCTCTGCAAGGGAATTATTTTTCATTCAGAAATAAGCTTAAAGAAATCATTTTGTCACATGATGATATATTGTCATATTTTTAAACGTTATTAATTTGATGTATTATTTTAGTTTATGTTTGTTCAGTAAAATATTTATAAAAATATGCACTTAAATGTGATTAACTATATATGCACTTGACTTTATATATATATTGAATTTTATGAAGTTTTAATTTACGAGCGATTCTTGATGACAAGACCTAATGGTCTTCTGCGAGTCTCTGCGTTCTTTTTATATTAACAAAAAAGTCTTAGTTTTATCTTTTATTTATTTCTCATTGAGTAATGTTTTTAACAATATAATTGTAAATTTTTCCTAATGATCTAATTGTAATTTAATTAATTTTTCTTTGAATATATTGTAATAAGAACAAAAATATATATATATATATATATATATATACAGTTAAGATAGTAGCTGTAAATACAGCTAAGATAGTAACGAAGTATTTCAACAACAGTAAATTTGAAATATTGAAGTGGCCAGCTAGGTCTCTAGATCTAAGCATTATTAAGAGTGGGGCACAGGTGTTACATATAGTGTTTAAAGGTGGTAAACAATATAGTTCACTAGCTGACTTGAAATCATCTATCGCATCTGTATGGGATAAAATTGACATTTCGTACATAAAAAAGTTGTATAATTCTTTAACTTCTAAAATGATTGAAGTGATTAAAAAAATAGTAAAAGTACTAATTTTTATACAAATGACAATTTAGATGAATTTTTTCCAATAGTGTCTTATAATTTTGTCGCACTAAAAAAACAGTTTTTTTTTTTTAATAAAATGCAAGTTAGGTTTAAAATAAATTTTTTTAAATGTTGTTTAGTCTTGTAATCCTTTTGCTCTCATTTACTATAAGATTAGTTTTTAAATATAATATTATATAATATTATATATATATATATATATATATATATATATATATATATATATATATATATATATATATATATATATATATATATATATATATATATATATATATATATATATACAATAAATGTTAATTGTATAATTTTTACGAGCTGATGATGCTGGTAACCATAATCCAGCGAAAATTTCTAATAATAAATTATTAATTGTATTAAGAGAGTTTGTATTAATTGATGTTTTCTGACTAACATAATATATATATATATATATATATATATATATATATATATATATATATATATATATATATATATATATATATATATATATATATACATATACATGGTGGCCACAGTCCTGGAATGTCCTGGATTCTTGCAAGTGTCCTGGAATGTCCTGAAATGTCCTGGAAAATTACATTTTTTTAAAAAATGTCCTGAAATGTCCTGGAACTTTTTTCTTCTGAGGCAAGTTAAAAAATTACTAAGAATATTAAGTAATATTAAATTTTTTATGCAAAAATTTTTTTTATATAAATGGTTTGAATTTAATTTTAAATAAGAGAGTAATAATTATATAAAAATATAATAATATAATATTCTATTCTATAATTCAATCAATATGAAAAAATATACCGTAAAGATAATTGATAATATTCATTTAATAAGGTATAAAATGTTCTGGAAAACGCAACAAAATGTCCTGGAATGTCCTGGAAATATCCTGGAATTTAACTTTTAAAATTTTGTGGCCACCGTTATATATATATATATATATATATATATATATATATATATATATATATATATATATATATATATATATATACATATATGTATAGATATATATATATATATATATATATATATATATATATATATATATATATATATATATATATATATATATATATATAAAGAGAGAGAGAGAGAGAGAGAGAGAGAGAGAGAGAGAGAGAGAGAGAGAGAGAGAGAGGAGAGAGAGAGAGAGAGAGAGAGAGAGAGAGAGAGAGAGAGAGAGAGAGGGAGGGAGAGAGAGAGAGATTCTCTTGAAAATTTTACTTTGTGACTTAAGTACATTTAACACAAAGCTCTTCTATTATAAAATATTTTAGGTTGCAAATTAAGTTAGTAAATTTTTTTTTCTAGGAAATTTTACATATTTAACAGCAAGTTTTACTTTTCAAAGATTATTTGGATTTGCTATTATTCAAATATATGTTCCAACTATAGCTATTGTAGTTATATCTTGGATGTCACTATGGGTTCGTAGAGATGTTCCACCTGCTAGAGTTTGTAAGTATGTTTTTGTTGTTTTTGTTTTGTTTTGTCTAAAGCACTTGAAACAAAATTTTAAAGCACTTAAGCAAACAATAATAGAAGATATTATTACGTTCAGTTGAATAATGCTTTTAATTAATTTTTTTACTTAAGTGTTAGTTAAAAATTAAAACTTGAATTATAAACTAAAAAATTATGTTGTTTTCATTCCCCACCACTGGTATTAAACCTATTTTTAATTTTGTTAAATTTAAATTGTTAAAATTAAAAAGTTATTACTGGTATTAAACCTATTTAACCAGTAACTGGTATTAAACCTATTTTTAATTTTGTTAAATTTAAATTGTTAAATTTAAAAAGTTACTGTTAAAACCAGAAATTCGAACCCCAAAGGGGTTTCGTACCTGAAACCTCTCAGAATCCAAATATTAAGGAGATCTTGAACCAGGAACCCAATAATGGTTCTAGAACCCAATAAGGGTTTTACTCTTTTAAAAAAAAGAAAACACCACGATTTGATGAAATAACTAGTGATTTAGTTATCTTTAATAAAACTAGTCTAAGAAGACCTCTGATCCATATACTTAAGCTCTTGATAACATCTAGGATTTTCCCTGATGTCATTAAATTAGCAAAAGTAATCCCCATATTTAAATGTAATGAATATTCAGACATAACCAACTATAGACCTATATCAATACTTTCTGTATTTTCAAAACTCTTCCACTGTGTAATTTATAATAGAATCTATAATCACTTCACTAAAAACAAATTATTTTACCCTAACCAGTTTGGGTTTCAAAAAAACCTTTCAACAGAGCATGCAATCATTGAATTAGTTAATCAAATAACTGATGGCTTTAAATAAATTAAATTTACTTTAGAAGTTTTTATAGACTTGTCAAAAGCTTTTAATACAGTTGACCACTCCATCCTATTAGATAAACTAAAGAACTATGGTATAATTAATAAAACTTACAATTGGGTTAAAAGTTATCTTACTAATAGAAAACAATAAGTGTGTAATATACAATCTGGAGTATTAAATGTTTTATGTGGAGTCCCCCAAAGATCTATCCTTGGTCCTGTTTTTAATTTATATAAATGATTTTTGCAATGCATCTTTAAAACTGAATTCATTCATGTTTGCTGATGAAACAAATCTATTTCTTACTAACAGTGATATCAAGAAATTATACGCAAATATGAATAGCGAACCAAATAAAGTAAATAACTGATTTAGGGCTAACAAACTCTCACTTAACACAGAAAAAATAAACTATATATTATTCCACAAAAAAACACAAGGAGAAAACCTTCCTCTAAAGTTGCCTGACCTTATATTAAATGATAACTTAATCAAAAAACAAGCCAGTATTAGATTCTTAGGAATTCTTTTTGATGAGAAGTTATCCTGGCTTCCTCAAATAAGATATATTATATCTAAAATCACTAATACAATTGGTATGATGTATCGAGTTTGCTCATATATCAATAAACAAAGTCTTAAACTAATTTACTTTGGACTAATTCATTGCTTCATCATCTATGCAAACATATGATGGGCAAGTACGCAACCATCAAGACTTAAAAAAATTTATAGTATACAAAAACATGCGTGCAAAATCATTTACTATAAAAATAAGCATGAAGATGCTAAACCTACAATGAAAGATATGAAAATGATGGATCTTCTTGAAATAAATATCTATCAGCATTTTATTTTTATGTATCAATTCAATAATAATATCTCTCTTGCAAACTTTAATAACAAGTTTGAAATAAACATAAATGAAAACTATTATCTAAGAGAATATATAAGTAACACATATAAACTGCCTCAAAACTTTAATAAATATACTGAATATAGCATTGCATATCGAGGACCAAAGATATGGAATAGTTATCAAAAAGGATTTAAATGTATGGCGAAGTCATTAGGTTCTTTTAAGTTTCTAATAAAAAAAGAAATTTTTAAAATTTGAGAATCTTTGTGCTTAAAGAAATCACCAAGTAATTTTATTTATTTTCTAATTTTTTTATATTTTATCTTTATTTGATTTACTGATCAGCGCAGCAGTTTTATGCCCATTAGGGTTTTTAATTTAATACCTATATTCTATGGAAAGTGTATATAGGGGTTCTATGAAAAGATTGCGATGACCTATTGTTATCTTCATCTTCTTTGAGCCCCTGTCTGTTTAACTCTTTATTTTATTTTGAAGATCATTGTAAAAAGAATAGTGTTTATTTTATACTGTATATACAAAAACGGTGCTTGTTGACAAAATTGTACTGTCTTTTTTGTTCTACGGACATATTTTTTCTTTCTTGTATATATATTTGTTTGATTATTTATTGTTAAACAACAAAATAAACGCAAAAAACAGTTTCAGAACACTTTGAGAAAAAAAGGGTTTTAGAACCCCTCTGGTTCCAAAACGCTTTTTTTAAACCCTACTTAATCAGGGTTCCATAACCAGTTTTTACTTTATCAAATACCCAGGAGGTCTGAACCCTCATTTTAAATCAGGGCTCTGTATTAAAAAAATAAAACCTATATTAGGTTTATATTTTAACTTGGAATTTTAAATTAGCCGAACAAGTAAATTATAAAATTATTCTTTCTAAGTCGTATCATGCTATGTAACGTATCATGTTCCGCAAACGGTTCCCTTTAATGAATGGAATATAAAGTATTTAACTTATTTTATGAATTTTTTTTTTTTAATTATATTAAATAGCGTCTGCTGTACATGATACTTGAACTTATGATATTTACGATTGGCTAAAGTGGTTATCTCAATCATCAAGTGCGAATAAAAAAAGCTTACATTTTTTTTTTTTGTAAATTGTATTAAAAGTATATATAATACAATATAATATAAGAAGTTGTTGAATAATTAAACAAAACTTACTCTCTGTTACATGATAAAATAAAAGTAAGCGATGTTATTGAGTGTGTTGCACTAAATTTCATACATTCTTATAATATTTATATTTTTATGTATAGTTGTTTCCACATTAAAGCTTGAATTCACAAGTTCAAAGAAAAATATCTGGAGTTGTTTGTTGTCGCTCCTTAAAGAAAGCTGCTGCATAACTTATATTATTCATTTAACTGAAATTTATAAAAAAAAAATTGAATGTTACACGGAAAAAGTAAAACTGAAGAATTTATTTAAACATTTCACGTTTCTTTGATAACTTATCAAACGTAATTAATGTTATGTTTACCCTTCTCAAACTATTATTAAAAAAAATTTGGAAAAACATTTAGAATCTAATTATAAGGTCTTTTTCTTAAAATATTGTGCATCAGTACAAGACAAAGAAAATAAAAAATTAGTAACACAAAAACAAAAAAATATACGCACGCATTTATGTTTAGATAAACCCGCTGAAAATACATTGAACAAGAAAGTGAATTTATTTTGCCTCCGTCAGGTCAAGATAAATAAGTATCCATATTTGTACATTTCTTCTTGAGTTCAGTTGTTAATTATTGTTTTATAATTAAAACATTTATAATGTAATAAGACAAATCATGACAATAAATTTTAAAACACAATTTTATATAAATATCAATATGAAATACCTTCAGATCTATCTACTTCAGATAAAGATAGTGCCATTAATTTCTCTCCTCAAAAAAAGAAAATTTAGCTGAGCCTTTATTGAAACCTTTGTAACCAAAGATACCATTTAAATTAAAATGAATAAAGAAACTTACCAAAATGCTTTACTGGAGGATGTAACAATTAATGGTAGAACATTTACCTTCATAAACAATTCTGGCTTAAGAAAACCTTTAGTTTCGATTGAAGAAGGTTTACAAGAGAAATTTGTGAGAAACATAAATATAAATTAATAAGATAAATTATCACAAAACGAGGACAATTGAAATAAAATTGATGAAAATGATTTAACATCAGAGGATGAAGAAGAGATATTATTGCTAAATGCATCAGAGTAAAAAAGTAGAGCTTACGAGGAAAACAATGAAAAAAAAAAGAAAGTAATAACTTTATTCAAACAGTGGAAATTTGGTATGCTTTATCTAAATTTAATTCTACTAAAATATTGATAAATGTGTTGGATGTTTATCCTATACTTTAGATTGTGTTTAGATGTTTATCCCATACTTTGTTTATCCATACCATAGATTGTGTTAGAATGTTTGCTCCATATTTTACCATAGATTGTGTGATTGTTCCATATTTTAGATTTAGCAGTTAATGCTGCCATAGAAAAGGTATTTAAAAAATGAAGGTCTAAAGTTTGTTAGCTAAAATATTATACGAGAAAATGCAGAAGTCATATTGTATTACGTAAATCTGTATTTTGTGCTGGATGATTTCTTAGTTGAAGGTATTATTGTAAAATAATCAAAAATCAAAAAGAAATGGCATCATCTCATCTAGGAATACTGGGCCTAAGGTTACTAAAGTTGACACGGAAAACAAAGTTAGAAAATAATGCGATAGTTTTAGAAATCGAAACAGAAGATGAAAAATTTAGCAGATCATGATACAGAACTTTAGGCCGAGAAAAAAATTTAAACAACACTTTTTTTCCGAGAAAAAAATTTAAACTATAGAGAACAAAAAAAAGAGAATAAAAATTGACCAAACTTAAGATAATCCAGTATTACAAAATATTAAAAAACAAATTAAATTTTTTTCTCTTGATTACAAAAAAGATCAGTCTATTGAATTAAATATGGATGTGTTAACATGATGGGAGAGTAAGAGATTAATTTATACCCTTTGTTATAAAATGGCAGAACCATCAACTCAATTATCAGTTGAACGTTTATTTAGCTCTTTAAGATTCATAACAAGTCCTTTCAGAAATAGACAAAATGAAAGAAATGTTTTTTAATAATAATAATAATAATAACAATAATAATAATAACAATAATAATAATAATAATAATAATAAGAAGAAGAAGAAGAAGAAGAAGAAGAAGAAGAAGAAGAAGAAGAAGAAGAAGAAGAAGAAGAAGAAGAGTGTTGTCTCTTTTTACCATTTACTGTTTCTTTATATTTAAAAATTTTTTATTATTTTTTTTTTTCTCAGAGCCTTTTTTTTTGTTTTTTCAATGTTTTTTTGGCGCCTCGGGCAAGATTCCCTTTTCCCCTCGTCTCATTATGCTTGACATATGTAAATTAATTTTTTTACTCTTAACTCTGAACAATTTTACTTTATTTGGTTTTATCCAGTATTTATCACAACCACCAGCCTTGGAATTCATTAACACCACCCACCTTGTTATTCATCACTACCACCAGCCTTCTGGCTGTTGTGACATTTTTTTTCATATCAAGTTCTGTTTAAGATAATCAATTTCTGTAATACTTTACAAATATGCAGTAAAAAAAAAACTGAATCAAACTAAAATAAATATTCCAGTAAAATAAGCTAAAATCTAACAGAAAATAATCTAGTATAGTGAAAACCAATCTTTGGGTTAAATGGTTTAAAGCTTGTCATTTTCATGAGTCTGTTTGAGTAGTAATGGAAAATAAGACTTGCTTATTAATTAAATTCACATAATTAACTAACTAAGTTATCACTAAATTTTTTCCATGAATATGAGTGATCAGTTTTAACTGAAAAGATCTAATTTTTTAAAATTTTTTATAAAAAGCTTTAGACCTATTAAATTGCTAAACGACGTTGGCTCCTGTAGTATTAGGTATGCAAGAAAGGTTTACGAATTTTTTAAGTTTTTATTTATCGAAATAGTTCCATAATTGTTACTACTATTTGTTTATTCTAATTTGTTTCATTTTAATTTCAATAGTCTGGTCAGGATCAATAAAACCTAATATTTTTCCATAATTCCAACTTGAATTTTAAGTTAAAGTAGCTTTTAAAGACATAGTTAATAACCCCCAAAATAAGATAAAGCTTTATGGCATTAAAATTCAGAGTAAGTTTGGAACCTTCAGTCGTTATCATTATCAGTGGTTTAATAAACTTGTAGAAATCTGGGAACTTTACTGTCATTGCTATGATTAATTAGTGCTTGACAGCATTTTAATTTTTTACCGTAATTTAAAAAACTTTTTTATCAAGAGCTAGGTTTTTATCAAGGGTTAGATTTTTTATTAATTTTTTTAAAAATGTTAACAACTCCAAAACTTTTAAAAATTTGATCATCCATAAAAGCAGAATTCAGAAAAAATTTTCCTTTTTAATAACTTTTGTATTAAGTATAGTGCATCCAGTCTAAACTATGTTGAATTGTTTAAAGTAAATTTCCTATTTATGTTGTTAAAAAAGCGAATATTGAACTAAAAGTAAATCATTATGAAAATTGGTAGAAAACGTTTGCGACTGTCTCTTAAATTAAATCCTTATTAAACTGTTATTAAACTGCAAGTTTAATAACAGTTTAATTACCAACTGAATTATTTTTTAATTGTAATTTTATTTCTTGAGTTACTGAAAATTTTCATGAGTTGCTCGGCTGAACATTTCGATACTATTGTATTGTTTTTTTTATTATTCCTTGTGGCATTGACTAATGATACATTTTATCCAGCACCTTTAGGATAATTTAAAATCAATGTTTACAAATTTTGATGCTTTTCTTCTGTAGTGCAGGAGTGAATTCATTGACCAATGACTGTTAGACACATTCTGCATCTTTTTTTAATTTTTGGTGTGAAAGAGGCTTTTGAGCTTGACAGTGAAAATGTTTTTTTTTTTTGTTGTTTTTTTGTTATTTGATTGACAGGATATTTTTTGTTAAACATTTGTTTTCTATTTTTGCAAACAATCGTTTACATTTCAAGGAGGTGAGATTTTTTGATATGGAAAACTATTGATAACTAAATCAATATTAAAAATTTAAACAATACTTTAGTTTTATCATTTCTTTATTATCTTTAGTTACATCCTAATAAATTTTTTTATAAGGTTTTGACAATTATAACTCTGCTAGTAACCTTTTTATTTTTACTATTTTTTACTATTAAAACTAATGCGATTTTAACACGTTTATTTACTCATAAAATAATAAATTTAATGTTAAAGCACAGAAAGCAGGGGAGATTTTAAGGGTGTGGGAGTATTTGGCCTCACACACCTACCAGCCCCTATTCCGCTCCAACCCCAAAGAAGACTTAACATAGAATCGGTTTTTAAGGAATATAGCCAGAATATGGCAGAAAGCTCTCACTATTGCAGCAATCATTGTGATTATTAATTATATTATGAATTTTCAAACGTTTTCATTTAAATATTTTTATTAATTTTATATTTATCTACTTTATTATTACTTTCTTAAAATATTATTTTTTCCAGTTTCGTTTACATTTTTGAATATTATGTTACTTCCATTTTTTTATTACATTTTTTTAAACTAAACTCATTAGAATTTAATTTAAAACTAAATTTAACATTATTTTTATAGTAACTAAATTTAACATTATTTTTATATTAACTTTATTATTTTAATTTCGTTTTCTCGTTAATTTAAATGAATAATATGCTTTATTCAAATTAACTTAAAAAATGCTTTTTTTTTCACAAAGCCTTGTGTATCACTGCACTTCTTACAATCTGCACGGTCTGGTCGTCTGTTAATTCCCAGCTCCCACGTGTGAATTATTTTAAGGCAGTCGATATCTATTTGATGGTATCATTTTGCAATGTGATTTTTACTCTAATCGAATACACGTTAGTCTTGAACAGTGATTTATTAGGAGATATTTGGAGACAGCGAAAGAAACTTTCAATTCTAACCAAGGTTGGTGTCATTAAAAAAACTGTTTTTCATTAAAAAAACTGTTTAAAACTTGTAAAATTATGTTTTTTAATTCAGAATTATTAAATGCTTGAGGTAAATGGTGTCCAGTAAAATATTTTCTAACTTTTAGATAAAGAATAAAACATTGTTGGAGCCAAAACAAAGTGGTTCATTGACCTTTAGGGGTGAAAAAAAGATCAAAAGCGAAATTCAAGACACTGAGAAACAAAAACAAGAATTAGCTAAAAAAATTAGTGCTGAAAACGATCGGATTGCCGATAAAATTGAACATTTGGCACGTATAATATTTCCATTAACGTTTATTGTCTTTAATATATTTTACTGGACAATCTTTTTGCTAAAGTAAGCTTCTTTATTAAATACGATTTTATGTTGAAAGTAATACAAAAACCCATTTATGTTAAAACAATACATAAAGCTATTTTATTTGAACAATACAAATATACTATTAATGTTAAAACGCCATACAACCACTGTTTTAAAATTATGTTTAACCGTTATAATTAGACCAGTTAACAGTAACAGCTATAATTAGTAATATTTTACAAGATAACAAAAATTTTGAAAATGTTTTGACTGTCACACTAATTAAATAAATAGAGACAATTTTAATAAATTAAATACTTTTTAAATAAGAAAAAACTGAAATTTGAAAAAAAAAAAAATGTAGTAGCGCCAACCTACTCTGTATTGTTCAAAAACTTAAGCTATAATCAACTACAACTTGAGACATTATAATAACAGGGCTCTATCTCCTTTTTGTAATGCAGAGAATGTAATGCAGAGAGAATTTAGCAAAGTTTGTTATATTCTTTTAAATTTTTAAAATTAGAAGTAGAAGTTTGTAAGATTCGTTAAGTTAAAAAATAAAATATCAAATTTGATAAATTGATTGCTTAGAACACAGTTTATTAAGTACTATTTATATAAAACAAAACTTATCGAATTAAATTTTTTGTTTTTACAATATTTTTTAATGTCTAAAGTTTCATCATTTTAATCTTTGTTGTTGTTGTTTATATTATAATGAAGATTCTATAGACTGAATAAAAGTTTTAAGTTGAAAGTTTTTAAAAAATAATTAAAATGCAATGTCTTTTTAAAAACAACTCGACATGTTTTCAAACAGACCGCTTTTTATTATTAATTAGTTATTACGTGAATCTATTTTTTGTCAAATTAATAACCATTTTGTTTTAAGAAATAATAACCATTAAACTGGGAGAACATAAAAAAGAAATTCTTAGTGAAACTATCAACCTTTAAAAAAAAAACAGGAAAAGATAATTAGCGATATCATAAGTGCAAATCTAAAAATAATAACAGATCGGCCTGACAAACTTAAAAACGAGTTCAATAAAAGCAAATCGAAGGTAATTATAATTGAACATCAACGATATAAAGGAAACTATCAACTTTTAGGAAGAAAATTTCTTAAAAAAAATATCGGAAACAAACAGTCTGATGGCCATCAAAATTACCAATTTAAAAAAAAAAATAACCTTAAAAATCGTTCACGCCGTAATAACCTAAGGATTGATGGCTTAAGTGAGCTACCCATAGAATCTTGGAATGACTGTACAAAGAAAGTAAAAGATCTATTTAGAAACCAACTGGGAATCTCTGAAGACGTAATAATTGAAAGAGCTCACCGCATTGGAAAAATAAATGAAAATAGCTCTTCAAGAACTATAATTATTAAACTGCTAGACTTTTAAAATAAAAATAAAATCTTAACGCAATCTAGACAATATTTCGCCAAGTTTGGGAAGTCAGACGAGAAAACTTTGGTTTTTGCGCTAATGCAATTTATCATCTACCGGAACAAATATGTTCCTGCGGCTTTTCTTTGATCTTAATGTAATATCGCAAAGTTTCGGGGGGTTTTATTTTAAAAATGCGCCAAAATTTAGTTAATTAAATTATCAGTGCATTCAGAAGCAATATAAAAAATGAAAAAGGATAATTTAGAGTATGCTTTCAAAATAGTTTGTGACTTATTTTGTATTAAATCTTTGAAGGATTACCAAAAAAAAAGTTTTAATAACTCTCAGCAATAGCAGAGATTGTTTTGTTTGCAAACCAACAGGCAGTAAAAAATCTATTGTGTTCCGATGTTTACCTTTTTCACTTTCACTTTAAACTTATTTAGACAAGCACCTGATAGTATTCGATATGAATATGTACATAAGTTGTGCAATAATTAAGTTTTAGTTGTTTCTCCACTTTTGAGTTTAATAAAAGATCAAGAAAACATTCTTAGTAAAAACTTTTTACTAAAAAGGAAATCAAAGTAGCTTTTATGAAGCATAATCAACAAAGAAAAAAGTATAGAAGATGATCAAACAGAGGTAGTATCATTATTATACATTGTTTTAGTTAACAAATAAAGCTCTCCATTTTTCTAGAAAAGCTCTAGTTTTTGCTGGGTAATTACCCTGAGAAATTATACATTTTTTTCTGAAATGTTGTTCATAAACTTTGGAATTTTGATTTCAATTTTTTGTAGAAAACATGTAAAATATTTTTTAGTGAATGCAAAATAATTAATCATTTCTTGAGAAATTTTTAATGCTAAATGCGTTTAGATAGCTATGATAATTCATTATGATATTTCATTATTATATTATGATATTTTGATATTTCATTATTAATTCTAAATGCGTTAAGCATTTATTAGGAAATATTATATTATTCTGATATTGTATTTCAACATGCCTCGAATAAATTTTTTTTTTGAATTATGGAGTGTTCTTTATTGTTTAAAAGTATATACTATTTTTCTTAGATAAATTACAATGAAAAAGTGGTGAGTGATTTTGTTATATAAATAAATTTGCTTGTTTAGTAAACATTGAAGTTTACAACTTAAATGTCAGACTTTCTTTTTATATATAAAATTATTTTAAAATTAAAAAATTTTGCTCATTGAAAGAAAAAATGCATTACCTATAGCATTATATGAGCAAAATCTTGTGATTTACATGATTCTATTTATACCTTATTTGTCTGTAATTTTTATGGGGGAAGTTCAAGTACATAATCAGATGTATTTCGGTCTCATGATAATAGACTCAGAATTGTGATCACTTGTCCCTAAAAGGATTACAGAATTGGCATTGACAGCAACTACAACTAAATCCCGAACTTATAACAGTGCTTTAACCAACTGAGCTACCATTATTGATAATCTTTGTATGCATAATTTAGTTATTATATCATCTACACCAGAATGAAGAAATATTAAATACCAGATCCAGAGAAATTTTTCTACCCAGTTGTTCATGATATTCTTTTGAATACGTATTCAGCTAAAAGAACTTTAGTCTTTTCTACAACTATGACTGATGTAAGATCAATTTATTGGTACTTTCACAAATAAAAAGGTCAAAAAGGTATAAAATATAAAAGCTATTTTGATAGATCATACGTTCAATTTCATTCCAAAACAGATTACATGATGAAAAGTATAATAATACAAAACAAAAATATAAACAATCTCTAAACTTGATCAAGCTTCATTTTTTTGTTCAAAAATATTCTACTATTCGTTTCTTCTGCTGTTGGTGTAGATATCAATATTTTTGTGAGTTTTCTTAAAGAATTTCACTACCTCTTGAGATGGCATTTATATTTTTTTGTATTTTTGCTAATGTTCTTTTTACATTTGTTTAGCATATTTTACAAATACAATGATAGTTTTTTGAATAAACTAGTTTTTCATTTATGAAATTTCTTTATGTAGGCCAGCTTCTGTTATTTTTCCCTTATTATCCAATAGATTATTTTTCATAGAACCATCATCATAGGATGAATACTTTTGTGTGATATCATGGAGACATAAAATGCACACGCTTAACAAATTAGGAGGTAAGAAAACCTCATAAGGTTGTGCCCTTTTTTTTGGCAATGGTAAGATGTTTTTTTTTTTAAGCAATGAAACGTTGTGATCATTGCATTGAAAATCAAACAACTTATCCTCCATTTAATAAAAACTGGATACCAAACCAAAACTTATGAGTATATAAAAAGCAAAACAAAATGTTTGAATTTAATAAATTAAATTTGAAGATGATCTGACTGAATTTGACCACTACTTATGAGTAAGAAAAAAAATAAATGAACTTATTATTATTTTTATAAATTTGCAATCAGAAAAAACATTAATAGACTGTTTTTTCTGTTTTTTTTCGCCATTTTTAATTTTTTTTTAAATAACCAAAGTTTTCTCGTCTGACTTCCTAAACTGCACGGGAATAAAAGTCAGACGAAATATCGTCTAAACCATGGAAGTATTATAGTATATAATATAATACTTTCATGCCTAAACATCTATAATACATCCATGTCTAAACGTCTAGAATAATACTTCCATGTCTAAACGTCTATAATCAGGGCCGGCGCGAGTAGGTGTCACGTGGGGGGGGGGGGGGGGGTGCCATTACAACTTTTGCCGACTAAAAAAAAAAAAAGGACCTCGTTTTCCAAAATTTGCCGACTGCCATTACGACATTTGCCGACTGTCTAACCTATATCGAAAGGGTCGACATTTGCCGACTAACTAGTCTAAAAAGGTCTGATTTGCCGACTAAGGGTCCAGTTTGCCGACTAAAAATCATTGATGGGGGATGTCTCACCCCCACACACCCCTATCGCGCCGGCCTTGTCTATAATACATCCATGTCTAAACGTCTAATATAATACTTCCATGTCTAAACGTTTATAATACTTCCATGTCTAAACGCAATCAAAAAACTCAAAGGAACCGGAATTTTTATTAATGAAGACTACGCGAACGAAACGATGGAAATAAGAAAAAAGCTATGGAAAGATTGTAAAAGATTTCGAAAGGAAGGTAAATTTGCTATTATCAAATATGATAAAATATTCGTCAGAGATTTTCGTAAATAATTTTAATTTTAAAAATTGTGAAATAGTTCTGTACATTTTTTATTATGCTAGCACATTTTAATTTACACAATGACTAACGAAAACAAAAACAAAAAACAAAAGGGAAAAAAATTTTTTCTTTTTAGGGGATTTAAATATTAACAGTCTAAACTACAAAGAAAATGCGATTACTAAACTCTTTTTTGATAACCTTGTCAATTGTGTATCCTCCCAATCATCAACAAACCTACCCGGGTAACCCCAAACTCCGTTTCTGCTATAGACAATATATTAACAAATACATTTCTAGAAACCTTTTTAAGGTGGTAGACTGCTAAAAACATTATTTTTGTATTTTACAATATTTCAATAAATTTTTTTACTTTGAACATGATAAATACATTAGAAAATTCATAATTTTTAATTTTTTTTTTTTTTTTTTCATATATATTTTGGGCAAAATCAGGTGGTTCTAGGCCAAAAACAGGCTAAAATTTTGGCAAAGATATCTCAAAAAGTATAATTTATTAAGTTCTAATTTTTTGTATTTTTATTTGTTTTATGTAGATAAAGGTCCTGAGATAAAAATTTTTGTTGAAAATTTCTTTATTTTAAAGTATCGTTAGATTTTTCAAAGCGCCCAATTTATAACCGAATTTCTGATATTAAGAACAAAAAGTTTGTTGTTTTAAAAGTTTATATTCTAAACTTTTTTTATCTCAGAACACAAAGCTTATTATAATGAATCTCTGTACAAAATTTACAGTCAATTGGACAATTACAGCTCCTGCAATCTTTGCCAGAAAATTAGAAGAATAAAACAGAGAAAAAAGCATATAAAATTAAAAATATTGAGTATACAAACTTATTAATATCTCCCTTTTTTATATACTGCTCTTCTTAATTTTTGTATTTTTTA